TCAGGGACAGGAGCCTCTGACTTCCTCCATGCTGGCTGCTGCTCCACTGCAGGAACAGAAGCAGATGCTGGGTAAGAATTACTCTTGACTGCATGATGTGTGCAGGCTTTGGTTCCACTGCTCACATGGTGCTGGAGGCATCAATGACGCCCTGTTCCAACTCCTCTGTCCATCTCAGGTGAGCGCCTGTTTCCACTGATCCAGAACATGCACCCCAGCCTGGCGGGCAAGATCACCGGCATGCTGCTGGAGATCGACAACTCAGAGCTGCTCCACATGCTGGAGTCCCCCGAGTCCCTTCGCTCCAAGGTCACTACTTGTTTCTCAACATTGACCACTTTTACGTGTTTGATTATCTGACGCGTGCTTCAAGACTTCATTGTAAAAACTGTCTGGTTGCAAAATGTATTGTGTGTCTGTGTGGTTTAGATGTTTGGTGTGAATATTAATTAAGATTCCTGTCCAGGTGGACGAGGCCGTGGCTGTGCTGCAGGCCCATCAGGCCAAAGAGGCCGCTCAGAAAACTGTGACTAATTCAACCGGCGTCCCAAGTGTCTGAACCCAAGGTAGAAGTTTAAACGATTAGAACAGTGGCTTGTGAATTTTAAATTTACTTGCAAAAAGTATAAACGGTAAAATGTGAAAAGTTCTAATATTCTTTTTCTGTTTTTTTTTTTTTTTTCCCCCACAGGAATAGGAACCTTGTGATAAACTTCAGTACCAGAGAAAAGGCTTGAAAAATCGCAAACGAACAAAAATGTACACACAAAACAAAGTAAAAAGAAGTCAAATAATAATTAAAAAAAGAGAGAACATTCAATAAGTTTCCAATCAGACTTGAAACGAACAAAAAGGTAACTGGTCTGGTTTGAGTTAAAGACAAAATGCACAAAAAGAGGAAAAAAATGCGTTAAAATAAAAATGGGTTTGAGGCGTTTTAGAGGAGAGTTCTGTGACAAAGTCTAACAAAAGCATTCCTTTCTGCTATTTTATCCATTTTAAAATGTTTGAATGTTCATTAATCCTTTCTTGCTTGAATAAAAGTTATAAAATAAGCATCTATTAGATGTTCTTTTTTTAATATGAATCTCTTTATTCTGAACTAAAAAACGTTGGTCAATCAAAATAATTCGGCTATACCAAGATAATAAAAGCTCGTTTTCTCACCGAATGAAAGACGCCAAAGTAATGTTTATTTTTTTTATTGTACTTTGTGACAGAAGATCTAATTTTCGTGTGTACATAAAAACCCGTTAAGAGCTTGCCTGCTCTGAGATCAGCTCTTAACAAACACCGGCTGCCATTAAAGTTTTTCTTCTTTTCTATCGTCTGCGTTACGACTCGGACGTCGACACTTTGCGTAGGAATTGCTCAAACTTGTTCCGGATGTCTTTCACGGCAGAGTGCAAGCTCCTCTCTGCTTCGCTGAGCATCTCCTTCATCTGGTGTTGGGCCTTTTGCATCTCAGCCTGCTGGCGCTCCAGGAGGGTCCTGTGATGCAGAACAGGATTAAATAACAGACGCGCACCTGTTTTCTGTTTGTCATCCGGACACAGCTACACGTCATACAAATGGCAGCAGGGAAAAGCAAAACTCTGAAGCTGAGGTGAGGTGGTTACACACCGAGCCTGGACCGGCAGGTTTTGGTTGTTCATCATCGCCGCCATGTCCTGATTCACTCTGGCCTTCATGCTGTCGATGTACTGGTTCAGATTTATGGTCCTTTCTTGCTCATTTGGTATGTGGCGCGCTGCAGCTGTAGAAAAAAAGATGAATAAAGACGTGAGTTGGGCCCCCCCTCTTCTATCCTTTCTGAATATTGGGAACGCACCGTGAGCCGCAGTGAGAGCAACAGCCACTATGAGGAGTTTGACGACTGATGACCGGGGGAGACCTACACAAAATGCTTTAAATCAATAAGTTAACACTTGTAGACAAGCAAAATACATTTCATACTCATTGAAATTTAACTTTAGCTGCATTTTCCAGACTATTTTTTTTATTAAACTTGAGTTTAATGTCTAATGTTGCTCTTTTAAAAAGGATTTAAAGATGGAAATATCACGCTGACGTCCTGTTAATAAACTAAAAAGTGTCACTTTTGGTAAAACTCCAAGCAGTCATTGAGATTTAACACCAGAAAAAGCTGAATTTGTCCAGTTGGAGCTGATGCTTCATTCACATTTAGATGATTTTTATTCTTATTTTCATACAAATATAAAATATAAACCTCAACAGTAATTATTTTATGGGTTTTGCTGTTAAAATTGAACCCTTTCATATCGTTTTTGAGTTAAATTCACCTCAAGTTTTGTCTTGATCAATTATAATACACTTAGAACAACAAGGTGTCACTTCCAGGAGCTAAAACGTTAAATTCTCCATTTCACTGTTGGAAAAACTACTTAAATTAAAAACTCAATCACCAGAAATACATTTTCACTCATGGATTATTGAAGAGATTGAGACTCACCCATTGGTTCTGCAGGGATGTCGGAACCGGATGGTGCCTGGATGCAGGACTCTGGGTTTTTATGGTGATGCAGCTCTGTCGTCACACGAGTGATTAGATTAAAATAAAACGAAAAGAAATTTTAAATCAACTGAATGTTCTCACTGGCAGAAGACTTTGTCCGGACCCACAGGAAAAGAACCGAAGTCCTCGTGTGTCCATCTTATCATGCAGGAACCTAACGAGAGCGTCACAAAGACATCTGGGTCATGCTTGTGAGATGTTGCTCCTCTTGATCTGATAACGGAGAACTGACAGAATATCTTGTTTTGTTTTGGGTTTTATTGTCACGTTGGAGCTGATTATTTGTTAAAAGCCATTTAAACAGTCATATTTGTTCCAGCTCTTAGTACTGGATAAATCATTTAATGCTGGTAAATATTTTTTTACAGTGTAAACAGACGGATGAGAAGTTCCTTGAAGGTTCATAGAAGATAAAGTTTGTGTTTTCGAGAAATTTCACAAGATTTGAGGGAACGTCTCCAGGTGACATCATGCAAAAAATGTTCACGAAACGTGTGATAAACTCATTTATTTGACTTGATTTAATTAGGAATCCTTCACATTTAACTTAAAACCATTAAAAATATTTCATAAGGGTCAAAACCTTGTAAAAGTGTATTTATTTGCTTTTTGTGAATAGCTTATTCAATTATATATATATATATGTATATATATATGTATATGTATATGTACATGTGTGTGTCAAAGTCACTTTATTGTCAAAAGCTGCAATATGTACAGGACATACACAGGATTGAAATTGCATTTCTCTCAGATCCCGGTGCAACAATAACCATTTAACATTAAATCATTTATTAAACATAAGCATAAAATGAAATAATAAAAGCATGATACTGTCTTAAATTGTACTATGGCGGTATAAAAATATTTTTAAAAAGTATATCTATAAAATGAAATGAAGGTCCTGACATTGATATTTGTAGTGAGTGGCA